ACCCAGCCCTGGCCACCCCCGTCGCCAAAGGAGCTGGCCCTGGCCCTCAGGCCCCCGACAGCCGGGCTTCCCCAGCTCCGGCCCCCCAGGTAGATGAACCCCAGCAGCCTCTGTCCTCAGTGCAGACCCGGCCTTGCCCCCCACCCCTGCTCTCTTCCTTCTCCTGCCCCGCTCTGCCCTGCCTGCCTCTGTCTTGCTGACTTGGGAAATGGTGCTCTCCTTGTCCCCTGTCCCTGCTGCTGTATCTCCTGACAATGATCATGGACACTTGAGACCAGGATCAGCTCTGGGGGGTCTGGAGCTAGGCAGGGATGCAGGGTGCACAGGGCAGAAGCTGGGTGTGCATGGTGGCACAGACCTGGCATCCTAGCACTCAGGAGGCTCAGACAGGAGGATTGCCGTGAGATTGAGCCAGCCTGGCCTACGTAGTGAGAACCTGTCTCAAAAAAGAAAAAAAGCAGGGGCCGGGGATTTAGCTCAGGCGTTCGGCCGCCTGCCTTGAAAGCGCAATGACCCGAGTTCGATCCCCGGTACCAAAAAGAAAAAAAGCAGAAGAAAGTGCACCAGGTGGAAAACGAGTCACCTGTACAGCACTTGCCCTCTGAGGCCCGAAGTGCTGCATCCAGATGGTGCACACCGTGGACATTGTAAGAGCTGGCAGTGGCAGGAAGTCCTCTCTCCCGAAACCTGGCCCTGGACAAGCAGAGCTGCTGTGACTTTGTTCCTTTCTGTCTGTACACTGCTGGCGCAGGCTGCCTCGGGTTTGCCCTTGTTCTGTGCCGTCCTCTTGTGCAGAAGCCCTTTTGTTTACTAGTGGGACCTGTTGTACTCTGAAGTCACTCTTGGTCCTTGGCTGTTATGAACACAGCTGTAAAAAAAAAAAGGCTTTGTTATGTGCGTCATTCTGTGAGGTCTTTCTTCCCTTCTGTTTCGTTCTGTCTTCTTGGGACAGTCGCACTATGTAGTTCAGGCTGGCCTTGAACTCACTGTGTAGGCCAGGCTGGCGAGCTGATCCTCCTGCCTCAGCTTCCAAGTGCTGGGATTACAGGTGTGCTCCACCACACCCGGCAGAGATAAGCGCTTTCAGAGGAAGCTGCTGGGGCCCAGGGATGCCTTTCTGTGTGTGACAGAAAGGTGCCCATGGCGGGCTGTGGGGTGTGACCTGATTTTGCCACTATCAGCAAGATATGGTTTGTGCCTGTTTCTCGGTGTTGTCCGGAGACCGGAGACCGGACTTGCCTCATCCGGTGGGTGGGAAGGGGTCTCTCGCGTTGGTTGAATTTGTGTTTGTTTCATTGTGAATGCGGCTGGGCAGGTTTGCACAGGTGAGGAGCTGTGGGTAGAATCTGTTCCTTGCCAGCCCCTGTCTGTTTCTGTCCTCGGAGGATGTAGTTTGGCTGGCTGGTCGTGCTCTTGCCGCTTCCTCGAAATTGCATCGTGAGAGAGGAAGCTTCTCCCTCACATCAGTGCCAGCCACATGGAGGGCTGCCCTCCTACTGTGGGCGGGCCTTGGACTCTGTCAGAAAGGAGCAGTGGGTGGGTGAGAGGGGGCACAGTGACGCCAGCCGGAGGGCTGCTGAGGACCCTGGGCTTTGGCCTCAATGAGCCCGGGCTTCGCTTTCAGACACCACCTCTGACCTGGAGCTGGGGACTTGGATGTTTGGCCCTGTGGTATGGGGCGGAGTAGCCTGCGTGTGGAGGAAATGAGTTCCCACCTGCTGAGTGCAGGGTCGGCATTGCCGTTTACTGTGTTCTCTTTTGTTTCATTTTGTTTTGTTTTGGTGGCACTAAGGCTTGAATCCATGGCCTTTCATTGAGTTGCGTGAATACCTCTTTTAAAAGTTTGAAACAAGGTCTTGCTAAATTGCTCCTGCTTGGATTGAATTTGTGATCCTCCTGCCTCAGCCTCCCAGAAGGCTGGATTACAGCTGTGCACCACCACACCCAGCTTGCTGCTGCTGTTTCTAGCCGCTGTGATGGGAAGGACATGGGACTGGTCCTGTGTTGCCAGAGAGGGACATGGGGCCAGGATGGCGCCAGATCGCTGGAGTGGGAGTGTGGGGCAGTGGTCCCTAGCCTCAGAGATTACAGCTGGAGCTGCCATTTCTGATCCCCAGCGAGTGACTTCCTCTCCCAGCTGCCTGTCCTCCAGAGTGGCTTGGGGATGTGTGAGTCCATGCTGCAGATGCTGTGGCTGAGAGCCAGGCGGGAGTCCCTTTGTTCCCACAGTGACAGTCAGCAGACACTGTGTGCCACTTTCTTTCCCAAGGCCACCAGCCACCCCTTTACCCAGGACTGTGTTCCATCTCAGATGCAGATTTTCACTTTTAAAACACCTCGAATCCCAGCACTGTGGGAGGCTGAGGCAGTGGGGTGGCAAGTTTGAGCCCAGCCTGGAAGAATTACCGTCTAGAAATAAAATATGCAGAAGGGCTGGGGATTAGGGTCAGTGCAAAGGACCAAGGTTCAGTTCCCCGCACCAGAACAAAAAGCAACCAGAGACAGCCCTGGACAGGCAGGCCGAGCAGCTCACCTCAGCAGCCCCTCTGGCTGCGTGTGGTCCTCATTGACTGTCCGGTGGCCCCACTGTGATGTCAGCCCTGGGAGGGCAGGGCCGGCCAGGGGCAGTTCTGCGGGAAGACGGTTTGGCGAGGCGGGAGCACACGGAGTGGGGGCTGTGGTGTGCCCCTGCTTCCCGGGATTTCCTCTGTCCTTGAACCCCACCGCAGCCTCTGGAGAGAAGGAAACCGTGGGTGATTCGCTTCCGGCAGCTGTCGGAGGGAGCTCTGTGGGCGCCCTGGAGCAGTGGCCCTGCAGGGTGCAGGGTGCAGGGAGGCTCTGGATGTTCACTCCAGTGGGGTGGGCGGTGACTGCGCCGTGTGGAAAGCAGTGCTCCAGGCCGGACTGGGGTCCCATACTGCTCAGCCTCTGACCTCTGCTCTGGACCCTCACAGGTAGGCGTGCGTGCCTGTGTCTGTGTGCGTACGCACACACACGCACACACCCCATCAGTCCTCTTACCTGGCTTATTGAACACTGTGCCTTCGAGTGCTGCCTTGCTGTCATCTGCCGCCAACCTGCATGAGGGTTCCGTCTTGTCACTGCATGGGACACGTATAAGTGTCTGCATCACCAAAACAAAAGTTTCATAAGTGATACATCCATAGTACTTTGTGCAACACGCTCATATTTTTACTCTGTTTGGTGGGGTTTTGTTTTTTGTTTTGTTTTCAGCACTGGTGATTGAACCCAGGGCCTTCGCGCTGAACTACATCCTGGCCCTTTTTATTGTTTGCTGTGAGATGGGGGTCTCATTAAATCACTGTTGCCTGGGCTGGGTTTGAACTTGTGATCCTCCTGCCTCAGGCTCCCAGATTGCTGGGATCACAGGTGTGCACCTCACCTGCAGTTTCTAAGGGCATCGCAGTCTGGAGGTTCGCAGCGCTGGGGTCCCAGCTCTGCTGCTTAGACCCTGACCTCAGGTGCCGCCTCTGGCCTCCGCTTCCTAATCTGTCAAACAGCAGTGCTGATCACACCAGCTACTTATAGAGCCACGAGGCTTAAATAAATTAATGTGCAATACCCTCAGGTCGAGGCCGGCACCAGGAAGGGCTCTGGTGTGAAAGTAGCCCAGCGAACCCTTTCCTTCACTGGGTGTTTACTTTCCAGGCAAACTTCTGCACTGGGCGGGTGTCAAGCAGGGCACAGTGCAGCACTGTGGGCCAACTGGGAATAAATGGGTAGAGTGCGCTCCAGAAAACTTGATTTACAGACACTGACTTTTGCAATCTCATAGAATTTTCAAAAGTCGTAGAATATTATTCTTAGACACTTCTTCCCTAAGCATTTAAAAATGTAAAACACCGCTTAACCTTTTGGGCCCTGCGGAGTGGCAGGCCGGCTTGGCCCGTGGGCTGCCTTTGCCTTTTCATTTTGATGTCTTGTTTGGGTTTTGTTAGTTAGTGGGCCCTCCGTGTCTGCTGGGATTGATTCTGGGACTCCTGCACGGCTCCTGAAAATTTACAGATGCCCAAGTACCTTGTTGAAAATAGTAGGGCTGGGGATGTAGCTCAGGGCTGCCATGCCTGCCTGGCAAGTGCAAGGTGCTGAGTTCAATTCCCAGTACTGGGGGAAAAATCGCATAGTATTTTCCTTTTTTTTTTTTTAACTGGTGCTGGGGTGGAAACCAGGGAGTGACTCTGCACAAAAGGCAAGTGGGATGCTGAGTTGCAGCCCAACCCAGTGGCATTCCCTATACGACCTGATACAGCCCGGCAGCCCTCAGGAGGCTGAGGCAGGATGATTGCCAAGAGTTCAAGGACATCCCGCACTACATAGCCATATCCTGTCTCAAAAAAATCAAATAAGGGGCCTGGCATTTAGCTCTGTTTTGCCATGCCTGCCTCACAAGTGCAAGCTCCTGAGTTCAATGCTTGGCACCAAAAAGAAAAAAAAAATACAATGTAAACACTAGGTAGGTAAATAGTTGTTATGTCTTACTTAGGGAATAATGACAAGAAAAGTCTGTGAATGTTCAGTATAAACACATTTCTCTTTTTTTTGTTTTTTTATTGTTTTGAGACGGGGTCTTGCCATGTAGTTCAGGCTGGCCTCGTACTCAGTCCATAGCCCAGTCTGGCCTCCAACTTGCACTGATCCTCCTGTGTCAGCCTCCCAAGTGCTTGGAGTACAGGCGTGTGCCTCCCTCCCCAGCATAGAGTAGTGGGGATTTAAAATGTTTTTTATTAGTACATATTTAGAGTACATAATGATTGCATTAATCATGGGGAGTTGGTACAGGCACATAATGCATCTTAATGTTTGTTTAGTTGGTTGGTTGATTTTTGAGCCAAGGTTTTGCTGTGTAATCCAGGCTGCCCTCAAACTCATGCCAATCCTCCTGCCTCAGCCTCCTCAGTGCTGCGATTACAATCCTATACCACCACACTTCACAACACATTTTAATTCATTTTTTTCTCCAGTACTGGGGATTGAATTCGGGACCTTGCACTTGGCGCCACTGAGCTACATTCCCAGCCCCATTTTAATTCTTTTTTTTTTTTTTTTGGTACCGGAGATTGAACTCGGGTCCCTGTGCTTGCAAGGCAGGCGGCAGAGCCACTGAGCCAAATCCCTGGCTCCTCCATTTCACTTCTTAATTCTCCCTCTCCCTCCATCTCTGGAAACCTTTATTTCTTTTCTTTCTTTTTTTTTGTACAAGTTTGTAGCACATAATGATCACATTCCCACATTCCTCAGGGCATATTTTAAATTTTGAGACAAGATTTCTCTAAGTTGCTAATTTGCCAAGCTGGCCTTAAACTTGCGGTCCCCATGCCTGGGCCTCCCAGTGTGTGACACGGCAGGGGCGCGCACCGCACCATTTCCCCCACCTGTGTCTGGCGCTGCGCCGCCCCAGCTGTGCCCACTCAGGGTGCGGCGTTTTTGCAGTCCCCGCTGCCTGACCAGGAACGTACTTCCCTACGCTTCACTTCTGTACTTCTATAAATGCCCTTCCGCCCACTCAGAAAGTACCTGCAGGGTAGAATCTAGAGGTGCAGGAGCCGGAGGGCCGTATGGGGAGCATTCCTGGAGAGACTCGGGGGTGCCGCCCGCAGGGCTGGTCACCCGGCTTCCCCGCCGCAGCGCCCGGCAGGGCAGCTACGAGGGTGTGGATGACGTCAGCTTCTTGCCGCCTGCGCATGGGCAATGGAAGCCTCATAAACGCTGATGTCCCTTTTTTAAAATTCATTAAGTTTATTGGTACATTTTCATTATATACTTTATGATCACATTCATCATTGGGAATTTGTACCTCTACATGATACATCTTGGTTCTTATTTTTTCGCATTCCCTTTCCCTCCCTAGTTCCCCTTACCCTTTGAATTTTTTTTTTTTTTTTTTTTTTCCTGTTTCACGATAGCTATTATCCATTTTGGTCCTCATTGACACTTTGTTTCTCCCGCCAGAGAAACAGTTCAGTATTTACACATATGTGTCCTATTTATTTCACTTAAAAGTATGGTCTCAAGGTCCATCCATTTAGCTATAAATTTCTCTAGTTTATCTTTATGGCTGAGTAGTACTCCATTTTATTTTTAAAAAACATCTTTATCCACTCACCATTTGATGGGCATTTGGGCTGTTGCCAAGTTTTAGCTATTACTAACTGTGCTGCTGTAAACATGGGTGAGCATGTATCGCTGTGGTAGGATGCTTTTAATTCTTTTGGAAAGAGACCAAGAAAGGGAATAGCTGGGTTAAGTGGAACATCTCGGAGTTTTTTGAGGACTCTCCACACCGATTCCCACAGTGGCTGCACCAGTCTGCACTCCCACCAGCAGAGGAGCAGGGTTCCTTTTTCTGCACAGCCCCCGCCAGCATTTGTTATTGGTTGATTTCCCTGGTTTTTTGTTTGCTTTTTGGCGGTACCAGAGATTGAACTCAGGACCTTGCACTTGCAAGGCAGGCACAGCACCACTGAGCTAAATCCCTGGCCCTTTGGTTAATTTCTTTCTTTCCTTCTTCCTTTTTGGTACTAAGGATTGAACTCGGGTCCCTGCACTTGCAAAGCAGATGCCAGAGCTAAATCCCCTGCCCTAGTTGATTTCTTGATAGCAGCCATTCTTTCTGGAGTGAGGTGGAATCTCAGCATTGTTTTCATTTGCATCTCACGAATGACCAGTGATGCTGAACATTTTTTCATGTTTATTTCCTGTTTCTCCTTTGTCTGAGAATTTTGTGTGTGTGTGTGTATGTGTGTGTGTGTGTATGTGTGTGTGTGCTGGGGATCAAACTCTGGTCCTTGCACTTGCGAGGCAGGTGCTGGAACCACTAAGCTAAATTCCCAGCCTGAGAAATATTTTTTAATGACTGGGCTGGGGATGTTGCTCAGTGGTAGGGCACTTCCTAGACTACATGAGGCCCTGGATTTCACTCCTAGTACCAAAAAGACTATAAAAGTCGTTTTGCTCATGGGGAGATTTTAGAAGATACAGAAAAAAACAAAGAAGAAAAATTAAACACCTATAATGCCACCATGTGGATGCAGGGGGTAGCATTTTAGTTTACAGTTTTAGGGTGTCCCCAGCCATTTAAAGTGCTGTTTAGGCCATGTGTGGTAGTACGTGCCTGTGATCCCAGCACTCCAGAGGCTGAGTCAGGAGGACTGCCATGAGTTCAAGTATAGAAAAAAATGTCCTACCCTATCCTGTCATTTCCAGCCCAGCACTCCCTTGTTCCCCTCTACATGGTCATAGGAACTCCTCTTTGGCTGTTTTTTGAGACAAGGTCTCACCACGCAGCCCAGACTGGCCTCCAACTTGTGATTCTCCTGCCTCGGCCTCCCAGGTGCTGGGGTTACAGGTGTGCACCACCATACCTGTCTAATAACATTTCTTTTAATCCTTTGAGGGCCAGGAATTTAGCTCAGTGGCACAGCACCTTCCTGGCAAGCACAAGGTCCTGTGTTAGATCCCCAGTACCCAAAAAAAGGTCCTTCAAGTTCTGGTTGTGTGTGAGCAACCTACTGCAAAGAGCAGTTTACATTTCTCTCCCATGTGTTCCCAAAAGGTTGCACATTATCCACCAGGCAGCCCACCAGGAGTTCCCAACGTCCCTATCACCTTTGTGTGTATCACCGTGATTCATTTGGCATCCCTGGTAAACGCCACCAAGGCACATCAGGTCCCTCCTAGCCTTACGGTGTCCACACGGAGCTGCAGGAGGCTGCACAATTCCTAAGTTCCTGGCCTGCCTGAAGTTGTGATCTGCCTGTCTAGGCCTCCTGAGTAGCTAGGACTACAGGTGTGCGCTGCCACGCCCACCTACCTGCCTTTACTTTCCTGAGCTGAGGCTGCACTCCAGCCCGCCCCGCCATTCCCCACGCTGCTGGGGCATTGACCTGCTCTCTTCCTGGGAACCCGTTTGCTGGGTTACAGCCAATGTGCATGTGTATTTGGGTGGCCGCTGCTGAACCGCGTTCCTCAGGCTGGCACGGGACCCCAGGCGTTGGTCTAAACATTCAGCTAGTTCCAAATGCGATTCATTAAAATGTGACACTTGGGCTTGTGATGTGTGTTTCTCTTAAGACCAGTTAGATGGAACATCTTGAAATACTTGAGCCTTCTGTGTTTCCTTTTCTGGGCACCATCTCATCGTACCCTTTGTCCTGCTTTTCTCATCTGGTTACTTTTAGTGATTTCCAGCGGCTCTTTGTGTGTGAAAGAGGTGAGCTTTGTGTGTCTCTGAAGACTAGATCTTTCCATCAGTCTTGTTATTTCTGCTGCAGACCTAAATTTGTGGACTGTGCGTATCAGAGGGCAATCAGTCCTCCCACTGCCTAGAAAGGGGGGCAGTGAGGGCTGAAGAAAAGAAATGAGAGGCTGTGTACTTGTAAAGCACGTGGAGGCCGGGAGGTCAGTGCCGCAGAGCGAGCAGAGGCAGAGGCACCCAAACTTGCCGCTATGTATTGGGTTCCTGGCCAGTATCAGCTGTCCCAGAGGGTGGCAGTGATCCTGTGAGGATGAGGATCTTAGGTCAGTGAGGAGCTCAAGTTGATTAGGACCAGAGATGAGCAAAACATTTCCTTCAGCAGTAGGTGGGAGGAGTTAGGCTGTCAGGAATTCACCCCTCCCCAGCTGAAACCTTTCTGTTGGTTCTCTGCCTGGCCGTCTTCACTGAGGGACTCTTGCCCTTGGGCGTCACAGTGTCACGGGGCCACTGAGGCCTCAGCTGTGACCAGAGGCTGACCAGAGGCAAACCTGAGTTATGTCTCCGTGCTTTAGCCAGCCCGCAGGCGAGAAGACTAGGCCTTGGCAGCCCTAAGCACAACTTAATTGTGAAATGATTTTTCCTCAAAATTATGTAGAATGGCTCCCGACATAAGGTTTGAGGTGCTGGGCCTTGAACCCAGGGCCTTCACACTGAGCCACTTCCCCAGCCCTTTTTTAAATTTTGGCTTAAGTTCTTGATAAATTGCCCAGGTTAGGCTCAGGCTTGCAGTCTTCCTGTCTCGGCCTCCCAGAGTGCTGGAATTACAGGTTACCCTTTTCGTTTTATCTGCATTTTTAATGAGAATGAAAAATACTTAAAACTTTGTTTCATATTTTTGTTTCCTTAATTATTTATTTATTTTATTTTTTGAGACAGGGTCTTGCTATGTAGTCTGGCCTTGAACTCACTATGTAGCCCAGGCTGGCCTCAAATACCCTGCAATCCTCTTGCCTCAGCCTCCTGAGTGTTTGAGCAAAACCCCATCTCAAAAAAAATTTACCCCCCCCAAATTTGCGTTTCGCTTAGTACACGTTTTTCTCGAGAATCACTTGGGACTGAGTTCCAGATGTTGTGCTCCTCTGCTCCTTAACATTTTAGTGCAGCATTTCATCCCTGGGGAATGAGCACATTGTCTGACAGAGCCGTCATCCTGTTATCAAAGCAGATTTACTGTGTACGTAGTTGTATCACCCGCCCTTCAGAAGCCAGGCTCACAGCCGGCACCCTAACACGGGCTGCTCCGGCTCGCTGCGCTTTCCCGGAAAGGTGCCGGGGAGAGGAGTGCAGGCGTCTGGAGCGCTGGTCCTCGGGTGGTTGCTCTTTGTCCCTGTCGTGAATTCTCCCACGGGGGTGTCACTGAGAGCAAGTGGCTCGTGCAAGCTAAGCACATCTCCACACCCTTTTTCTCTTCTTAAGTTTTTAAAATTTATTCTTTGTGGAAAGGGTAAACAAGGTTAAGAATGTGTTTAGTCAGCCCAGGGACGTGGCTCAGTGGCAGAGTGCTTGTCTAACATGCTGGAGGCGCTGGGTGCTGAGCACCAGCACCACACACACACACACACACCACACACACACATACCACACACACAGACACACCACACACACCACACATACCATACAGACACAGACACACAGACACACCAGACACACCACACACACACAGACACACCAGACACACACCACACAGACACACACACACCACACACACAGACACACCATACACACACAGACACACCACAGACACACACCACACACCCCCACAGACACACACACCATGCAGACACACATACCACACACACACAGACACACCACACACAGACACACACCACACACACAGCCACACACAGACACACGGGCACGTGCATGCTTAGCAACATGGCCCTTCAGGTTCCCAGGTCAGATGCCTGTGTCCGCACCCCTTCCCCGCCCCTGAGTGTTGGGGGGCAGGCCCACTCTGCAGGGTGGCCCGGGGCCAGGGCAGTTGGCCACGGCAGGCCTGGTTTCGGGGCAGCCCCTCTGCACCTCCCCTGGGGACCCTCGGGGAGGCCCGGGCCAGCCACAGGTCAGGCTTTTCCCCTGTGTTCCTGTATTGTGGGTTTTAATCCCCAGAAGTGACTCAAGGCCAGGCTTGTGAGTGTCCGGGGACTGGGGCTGTCGCTAGTGGTGACTCTGAGGAGGGGCCAAAGCTGGGGACCTTCTGAGCTGGGTTCCCCCCAGTCAGCTTTGGGTCCTGGCCAGTCCCACAAAGCCGGCGGATGCTGGGCACGGGTCAGAGCCTCCGTCTGGGCCACTCCCTGAATGGAGACCGGATGGGTGCTCCAGCTGCCAGCCTCTGCTTCGGCCCTGTGAAGTGGGTTCAGGGCAGGCTGAGCTGTCGGGTGAGCGGGGCCCTCGGGGGTCAGTGCAGGGGGCTGTGTGGTCTCCTTCTGGGGCACAGAGTCCAGGGGGCCTGGTGCTTCGGCCCGGCCTGCTTAGGGTAGAGCACTGTGTGGGTAATCACGGCTCGAAAGGTCCCGAGTTTCTGTGGATGCAGATCGGGGTGCGGGCGCCCAGGCGGGCTGTGGCCACACTGCAGGGCACTGGAGCGGCCAACACCCACAAGGGGCTGACACTGAGCCAGCGTCCAGCTCGCGCCCCGCCGCTGCCATCCCTGTTCCCAACCCCTGGTCCCCTGGCCCGC